GTGCTGATTAGTTTTTGGCAAAGGCAGGTCAAGCCGTTCAGAAGATACGGGGCAAAAAGTTCCGAAAACGGTAACTCAGTTTTTAAGAGAACGGAGCGTTCGATTTTAATAATTCAAAAAACATTTTATTTGTATTGACAAGATGAAGAATCGATACAACTTTCAAGAAAGTAGGTCCAGCGGTTTCGGAGATATAAAGGAAAAAGTAAAAAAATGAGCCATTTGGCGGTCAAAAATGATCATTAGACATATGCACAACAAATTATCAGACATTTTATAGAGATTTTAACAATAAGTATACATTTTGTTAACATTCCTATTGGTTCCGTACCAATGCTTATGCGTTAGACAGCGACGCGGCGCTTACGCGCTTTATATTTTGTCCCTATGTAGTTAAAGCAGTACGATTGCTTTGAAAAAAAAACTAATTTTTTGTCCAATTTATAGTTTCTCAAAAATCTTATTTTTTCAAAGTAATTTTTTTTCAAAAATGTTAATCGTTTTAAAAAAAAATAATAATTTTTGGTACGGGAAGTTCCAGCAATTTGCTTATTTATTTATTTATTTATTTATTTATTTATTTATTCATAAGCAAGCCGTAATCAATAATAATAGATATTATTTCAGGCTCTTGTCAAGCTTATTCATAGTCAATATTAAAAGGATAGTAATTTTATAATAATCAGAGTAGCTGCACGAATTTCGCTTCTGAAAAAAAGAGCTGAAAAAAAGCATTCGAACATGAAATACAATGTTCATCATCAAGTTCATCATATTAAAGTCTATTTGACCACCAGTCAAGCTCAAAATTCTTGCACAAGGTTGAAAGTTATACTCATTTAAAACCGTAAAAAATTTAAATTAATAAAATAGCAATAAAAAAAATGAAAAAAAAATAATGGTTGTACAGGCGATCAAATGGTCAGACTACATAGATACAAGATAAGGATTATGCAAGAAAATAGTTATTGAAATCAAATTGAGAAAATTCAGTAATGTCATAAAAAGCTATGTCTTTAAAAAGTTTAACTAGGGAAGCATGAAATTTTTTGCTGTCTAAGTTTCGGATATTGAGTGGAAGTTTATTCATAAGCTGAATACGTAGACCGTCGATCGTATTGAAAGAGCTGGCTAATTTATATGTACGCGCCTTAATAGGTTTGTGTCTAGTGTTGTAATTTGAGGACGAAGCCATATCAAAAAGTTTCGAATTGTTTTTGATGAAAGTTAATGTTACCAGCAGAAAAATGCATGGGACAGTTAGAATATTGTATTTTTTAAATATGGGTCTGCAGGAGGCTCTACTGGGCAAGGAAAAAATTATTCGAATAGCTCTTTTCTGAAGCTTAAATATTTTAATTAGTTCGGATGAAAACCCCCAGAATTGAATGCCGTATAAAACGTGAGAATAAAAGTTGCTATAATAAACTGAAAGTAAGCAATTTAAACCAAGTTTGGGTTTTAGGTTGCGCAACATGAAACATGTTCTAGATAAAGTTGGTGATAGAGAGATAGAGATATGATCAGACCACTTTAAATTATTATTAATATGGATACCAAGAAACTTTGATACTTGCGAAAAATTATGTGTTGAATTATTGATGGTTAAAGAAGTATTATTATTGGATAAACGATTTTTTGTACAAAAAGATATGATTTGGGTCTTATCATTATTGAGAACTAGATTATTTTCACAAAACCATTTCGTTATTTCTGACATAACCACGCTTAATTTATGTTGTAATTCATTAAGAGATTTGGCCTTGATGATAACGCTGGTATCATCCGCAAAAAGAATAAAATCACAAAGATTTGTACAATGAGGTAAATCATTAATATATATGAGAAATAAGAGATTCCCTAAAATTGATCCTTGGGGCACGCCCAATGTACTTGTCAATTTATCCGAAATTATTTGCTCGTGATCGTTAATTAAGTAAACGCTTTGTGTTCGATTAGACAGGTAAGATTTAAATAGTTTGAGCGAACGTCCGCGAATACCACAATTTTCTAATTTGTCAAGAAGTCTTTGATGAGAAATACTATTAAAAGCTTTGGACAGATCGCAAAATATTGCAGTACAATATGTGGCTTCTTCGAAGGAGTCAATGATGTTATGAACTAAATTATAAATTGAGTGGGAAGTAGAATGGTTCTTTCGAAAACCATTCTGATTCTTGAACAAAATATTATATTTATTGAGAAAAGACGTTAACCTAGTATGCAAGATTTTTTCAATTATTTTATCGAAATCGTCTTTATTATTTTTCTTATGAAGTGGAAAAATCTTTGCCTTAAGGCACGATGCCCTAATTGCCTTAAGACAGAATTCCACTTACAGCTAGTTATAATTTCGGTTTCCTAAGAAGTTTACGATTTCAAGAAAAAATCTTACTTTCTAATTTTATGTTTTCTCGACGTTTCAAGCATTTTTGAGAAAAAGTATGTATGTGGCTCGATTTGTGACCTTTTGTCGACGTTTGTTGGTTAGTTTTTTGGGACGATCTCCAAGCCGTTTCTTTGGAAAAAGCAGAAAATTGTAACTTTTTTTAAATTTTATAAAAATTGAACGTAGTTTAAAAATTTAAAAACCATTCGAAAAGTATTATTAGGGAATCATACCGATTAGAAAAATTGGTTGGATAGTGTCGAAACCTAAAACAAGATATTACAAAATCCAGTTTTATTAATAATAAAATTACCAACATAAATCATTTGACTAGTTTATTATACAGATTTCATTTTTGAGCATGAATTCATGAACTATGATACTAACAACTAATACTATAGTATTTCAAACAAATATTTCATTCCTTACATCTAAAAGTAATACTATATATTATGTACATTAAGCTATTTTCAGCTAATTTATTATTTAACGGAAAATAAGATATATCATCTTCAGAAATGAATATCTATGGGTATCATTGAACTGATAACGAAAATTAATTTTGTTAATATTCTTTGTATTATTTTTGATGCTGTTTATCTTTAGCTTGGGAGGTGTGAATATTTTGAACTAATGGCGTGAATATTTTGAATATTTTGAATATTCAGATATCTAAAGATTTAAATATTATAATTATTAATTTGTGAATATCTTATATTATCAAAATATCTCAATATATGATAAACTGATACTGAATATATAATGAACTGATATTACTATGGTTTGAATTAAAGTACTAATTTTGATTTTTTAAGTTTTGCTCATAGACCTTCTATTACATGGACTGCTAGTCGATCGCAAAATTAGCGCTTAGACATGGAAGGGAATGTGACGTCACTTGCTGAGCGAACATTGCCGACAATCGCGAAACTCTCCCGATTGTTAATTGTTATATGTCATATGTTTCATTTCAATAAATATAATGGCAATTGTGATGGCTGATAATTTTGTAAGAAATGATGTTTATAATCGATTCCATCTGTTAAAATCGGTTTATATAACATATACCGTAACATATGCATATGGCATTTAATCAATCGAGAGAGTCCGCGATTGTCGTCGGCAATGTTCGTTCGGACATGTGAATTCTATGTTTGAGCACTATATACAGCGGAAAACATATAAGGACTAGCAGTCCATGTAGTGTTATGTCTATGATTTTGCTTCATAAAGTCTTGAATATTTATATTAACTGTAACTAATATAAATAATACATGTTTATTAAAGTAGAAGTAGTACAAGTCCATTAAAATATTTTTTTTAAATTATTGATGTGCGTTACACCACTGGATTTGGCTAATGTACGCTCAGCGTATATATTTTATCTAACATTAAGATTAAGTCTTATAATTTCTACTTTTTAAAAATAAATTAACAACATTGTAGCTTCTGTTGAAAAAAAGATTTTTCAAATGGCACATTTAATTATGCTATAATATTCAGGGTTGTATGACAGAAGTTGGTATCTCTAATGAACTTATTTAATTATTTACACTCTACAAAACAGATTTAGATGAAGTTATCAGGAGTAAGACTATCAAATTTAACGTCGACATAATAATACAAAATTTGACTCTATATTCTTTGAATTTGAAATTACTTGTAAAAATCTGTAAATTTATATGGTTTGTTTTTGCTATCTTTGAGCAGTCTAAAATCGCATAATCTTAATACGTATCGTAAATGTATTAGAACATATTATTTTTTGGTTTCTATTTTGAAGTATAAAGTCTTCTATCTATCCTGATTATCGGACTTTAGTTGATTCATTAAAAATTACTTTATATTTATTTTTATATGGCCTTGGGTTATGACCCGGTATTAGTCCATGAGTTCGGTCTTTTTAATTCTATATCTGTCGTAAGTTTTCAAATTTTTAGAAATGTTCAAATCGATACTCTAATAGGTCATATCTTTAAAGAATTTTAAAAGTAATTCCCTCGATCAGATCTAGAAATAACACAGTATACTATACTCCTTTTTGTGTAACACAGTAGTTATCAAATTCTAAGCATTAGTTATCTTACAACATAGCTAATAATATTTACATGTGCTAATTAAAAACTACTTGAATTTTTTGATTCATCAGAATTTGTTGGAAGTAGTTCACTTTCTTTATTATATATCGCACCAATATTATGACAAGGATGATCATTATTCGAAACGGGATGTGCAACCAAGGTGCAGTTGCAAGGTTCGTCGACTACAATTCTGCAGGGCGGCTGAATAAACCTTAAAGGCTTGTCATCAGAAGCAGTCTTGGTAATTTTTGTGGGTTTCTTTAATAGCTCTTCTATGGAATAAGGATTTCGCTTCAACATCTTTTTGGCATCATCTTTCGTATCTTCTTCAAGTTCTTCTCTCTCTGGTTCACTAGTTTTTCCTAATGAGTCTTCATCACTGTGGTTGCTCGGGCTACGACTACTGTTCGTCTGCATGGTATTGGAACTCGTTGGTTGAGAATTTGGGAAACTAAATAATTGGGAGGTTAAATAAGGTGTATGCTGTTGCAGATTCAATTGGTGTAACGCTGGTGGTCTATAAGGAACTACTAACCCAGGCCAGGTTCTTGTAAAATCGTTTTGGATTGGGGTGAAGGGGCCAATGTTACGAGGGGTGTTTGTGGCGATTGCTGGTAGAGTAATAAAGGTGAATTCTTGTTCGGGATAGAAGAATCTTGGCGTTTCATACCAACATCTGTTGATAAAATAGATTAAATCGAATTATAAATATATTATGAAAAAAAAAGAATTAAAATCATATACTCATCATATATATTGAACAAAGCATATAAGATGAATGACCTCTTAATTTTATCCCATTTTCAAAGAAAGTATATCATTTTTAATATCTGGTTGAACTTTAGTGATGACCACTTCTACAACAACATTTTTTTGTCAATAGTTACCTTGTCCACTAGGTGAAGACAACAGCACTAAATCGTGATCACTCCAAGAACCACTGTTTCTCAGAATTCGGTTAACCGAACTGACAGAAGGAATTGAATGAGGATCACAAACCCTTTGTGCCAGAAGCTGATCCCGAATTTCCCAGGCAAACATGCTGGGATTATCCTGCTTGAATCGGACGATTTTCTTTACCACAGTTGGTGTTGCGACTTGCTGGAATTAGAAAAAAAGTTAGTACTTTTTGGTAAAGACGTAAGAAAAAAAAAAAAAAGTTTTTATAAAATTGTGAGTTTTTTGAAAATAGTTTGTACTAAAGTAGTGAATCTGCTAGAATCCATCAAGATGTCTATAATGAAGTCAATTCTAGATGGAATATGAATAACTTTAATTCTGGTGGAAATGGCGCTCATTAAACCATATGATTTAAAAGAAAAAAAACTTCGTATATGCTTCTTATTTGCATGATAGCTCATTCATTTTACACGCAAAAAACTTGTAACAGCACTCATTTTAAAGCTAATGTTGAGTACTATAAAACCCAATTTCACCGAAATGCATAAAATGTAAAACCTCGACACTAGATGGCTTTAAATACAACAATTAAATCTTGAACGAAATAAAAAACGACTTTGCTCTTTCAAATCTTGCTTAATATTTTTCCTAGAACACTTTATGTAATACCGATTTATTAAGATTTTTATTGATATTATTTTGTTCATTACATGATTTTCGTTAAAACGTATATTTTAGCAGATATTTGCAAAAAAACGAAGAAAAACGCCAAAAATATATGAATCTTCAGTGGCCAGTAACTTGAAAAGTATTAGTTTTTCTGAAAAACTATATAATACATTTTTTTCTTATAATTAGTTTTTCTATCGATTTCCGACGTTATTTTGAAAAAATGTAATTACACAATTTAGAAGGGGTGTCAGCCCCCCGGGGGGTGATGGCGCAACCCGAATTGTTTTCACTTTTGAACTTGAGGGTAAGATGATCCTAATTCCAAAATTTCATTCAATTCGGAGCACAGTAAAAAAATTCAGAGGTTATACCCTTTTTTCCTCTCCGTTTACTGCACTAAGAGTAGTTATAATAATCGGCCAAATATCGAAAATGAAAATTTTTGCTTAACTTCACGCTTTGAGGTTTCTGAACATTTTGGCATACCTCAGAAAAAATGAAAGTGTGTGTGTGTTTTGTGGGTCCGCATTTTTTCGTCCACGTTTTCGGGCGCACGGATTAACTGATTTGAATGGTTCAAAAAACATTCGATTCCTATTGATAGGGAGATGTGCTGATTAATCTTTGGCAAAGACAGGTCCAGCCGTTTTGAAGATACGACGCAAAGATTACAGAAAATGGAAATCGGTTTTTTGAGAGAATAGGGCATCCGATCTAAATGATCCAAAAAATATTCAATTCGTAATGATAGGGAGAAGTAGTGATTACTTTTTGCTAAAGGCAGGTCCAGTCGTTTCGAAGATAAGAGCTATTTGTACAGTTTTTGAGAGAACTAAGCATATAAATGGCAGTTTTTGAGAGAACTAAGCATCCGATTTGAATTATTTAAAAAACTTTCTGCTTGTATTAGTAAAACAGTTGCTTTTGAAAAAAAAATATTTTAATTTTTTTCAAGTTAACACATTTATTGTGGGTACATAAAACAATTACTACTGACAATATTTTTCTTGTTTGTTTTGTATCAAAGCCAAAAACACTTTGTTTCGTATTGTTATATTAAAGCTGTACAATTTGGATTAAGAATCCGTAATTACTTTATCCTTCTATAATACACAAAAAATTAAATTTAAAATAAATTATTCTTTAATAATTTCGGTTGAAAAGTAACACGCCAATTTTTAGATAGGATCATTTTTTTATATATATCTGATATAACCACACGTTATTATTAACGACACGCTTCAGCAATGTACCCCTAAATTAAAGTTTCGTTTTTATTTTTTTCTTTATCATAGACCTTTTGAAAATATTTATAGATAGATGTGAAATAATTTTTGCAAAGCTGTATATATTAATATGTTCGAATATTATATATATAATATAAATTAAATAAAAATTGTAATTGTTGATAAAATTGTTGATATATTTTAACTCATAGTAGCTCTCATTCTGTCGAACTGTTAATCAGTTACTTCATCAGAATATCAAATGACAATGTTTTATAGAAAATCGGTATACATTAAAATCACAGTTGAAAATATATTATTCATTTTTTATATCGTTCATATATTGTGTGAAAATCAAATAGCTCACTAATTTCTTAATTAGTCTTGAGCAATTCAGTGAACATTCCAATTAATTTTGATCATTAAAGTATATTTATAGCACGTTTTGCTTTTGAGAAATTGCGCTATGTTTATGTATTTTTTTATTTTAATTTATTCAATTTATTCTTAAACTTATTTAAAGTTTTTATTTTTGCCAAAAAAAATCCGAATTTCACGATATTTCATGCCAAATCTCGACACAATTTTACATTTGGCTGAACCGTTTTTAAAAATTTAAAAGCCACTCAAAGTGCTTGTGTTGATTTGTATTTGCAATCGATCGAACAAACTTTTTCTTTATACTACTAGCAAAAATGCAAAAAAATATTCACGTTTTCGATAAAAATCTTGAACATATTTCGAAAATGTTTTATAGAAAATCGGTATACATTAAATCACAGTTGAAAATATATTATTCATTTTTTATATCGTTCATATATTGTGTGAAAATCAAATAGCTCACTAATTTCTTAATTAGTCTTGAGCAATTCAGTGAACATTCCAATTAATTTTGATCATTAAAGTATATTTATAGCACGTTTTGCTTTTGAGAAATTGCGCTATGTTTATGTATTTTTTTATTTTAATTTATTCAATTTATTCTTAAACTTATTTAAAGTTTTTATTTTTGCCAAAAAAAATCCGAATTTCACGATATTTCATGCCAAATCTCGACACAATTTTACATTTGGCTGAACCGTTTTTAAAAATTTAAAAGCCACTCAAAGTGCTTGTGTTGATTTGTATTTGCAATCGATCGAACAAACTTTTTCTTTATACTTAGCAGAAAAATGCAAAAAAATATTCACGTTTTCGATAAAAATCTTGAACATATTTCGAAAATTTAAAAACCGTTTCGAAACTGTTGGAAATCGTGCTGATTTCGGTAAAAGTTGGTTTCGGGTAGCATGAAAATAGGTTAAAAACAATAGCTATAAACACCAAAATAGTTTATAACCATCTAAGTTTATACCGACCTTTGTTGTCAGGAATATGTAATACAACACAGCATAATCATTTAAACTTATGAATATGATATAACAATATTGTAATTTAATTACATAATAACAAAAAAAAGAGTGCGCGTAAGGTTCACATGCAATTACAGTAAAACTTATTTGCTCTTGTACAAGATGGCATTTAAGTACAAATAAACACATCATATAATAATTTTGAATAATGTTTATTAGTAATATGATAACACTCGTGATGGACATTTTTATGAGTATCAACTATTATACAGATTTATATAATGATAAATTATAAATTATATATTTATAATAGCATTAAAAATATGTATAATATTTGAAACCAATAATGTAATTAAAGTCATACTTCAAATACGACATGATCAGTTTGTCATTGTAATTAGCATTTAGAAATGAACCGTCATTAGAGAAATGAAGTAATTGCTGATTAATAAATTCTATAATATTCGTTCACACAGTTGATTATGTTAAACAACGCCTAAACAAATATTGTTTTTGCAACTTCACTCAACATATAATAATTGTGTTTGAAGAACTTCATGTAATTAAAGTTAACATACATTCATTGACTGATGGTTTTTTTTTTACTATTTCGCAAGCGATATAATATTATTCTTTGATCAGCTGTAATATCTGTTTTGCCTAAAAAATATTTTCCATTTCAATAACTTCAAAGATTTATAGAAACTACGAATAATATAGAAATATTTTCTAATCAATAAACTTATGTTTAGTATGGCACAATGTTTAATTTGTTTTATTATTTTCAAGGAACAGGGTAAAACATTCTTCTGATTCAGGCATTTTCATTAAATCAAGTTTTAACTTGATTTAATGTAATGTAACTTTAAAATGTTTATTTATCTATGCCGATTTCCTTGTTGATATCGATACGCATACAACGACAAATCTCTATTCACATACACGACGACTAATCACAATCGACCCGTATAGAAATGATCTCATCGAGAGCGAATGATGAACAGTTCGCCGTAACGGACTTCCGTTGCATTTGTACGGATTTACATCCTAGTCGCGCCTAAAGAAGTTTTACTTCTAAAACTTACATTTGGCTCTTTATAGGGCAATTCCATTTACAAATCAGATATATGGTGACTCAATGCAATAATGAAAACTTGTTCGAACAAACATACTTCACCATTATCTCTTTGAACCCTATCTCAAAGTCAGTATATTTTAGCTGTTATGACGACTGTCACTATCGTAACTTGGCACAATCGTACCCCCTACTTTAATTTAATAGACAAATAAACAATTGCATTCCTATTATCACGTGTATTGATATTTTATCGTGTCCTACCCCCACCGTACCTTAGTTTTGCTTCCACCGATGGATCCCGGCCTGATAGACCCAGTCTCGTAGAACCTGGTCAGTATCTTCGATACGCACCCGTGCGACACGAGCAGTTGCCGCGAGATGTCGCACGGCCTGACGCCCATCAGCGCCAGCTCGACGATCCTTCGTCGCACGCAATCGGGTAACGGGCGCCCGTTGACGAACACGCCTCCCAGCTGGTTTATGCCTGCCTGGCCTGTAGTGAAAAAATTGAAATTCTTAAATTAGACGTAAATTCACGATTGTGTTTTCAGTTTTATCGCGAGCGATTATTATCTAGCGGCTCGGAGTCCCTTTTACAGTTAATTTTGTGATCCCAAGATTGTCGTACGTGATAAGGGCTTTGATGAAGATACCTGATTATGTTAGACGCCTGGCAATTATTATATGTAATATGTGTTCTTGAATTTTTTATTTGCAGGCAACTAGTCGATATAAAAAACTATAAATAATTTGAATGTTTATTTAGTACGTTTCGACACTGTAGAAAATTAACAAGTTCAAACAAGAAAAAAACAGAGAATTGCACACATTATTTTAAAAGAAAACACAATTTTGAGTAAGTTACAATAAGTAGAAAAAAAATTGAGTAGGGAAGTCTAATTTGATTTTGAGCAATTATATTGTGCAAACCAAACCGATTATATCACAACAAATAACACATATCAAACAAACAGCTATCTGACTATGTTCAGTAAATCTTCCAGCTAATTCATTATTGTAGAAATATGTTTCTGGCTATTTTTTTTTAATTTATCTGTTTTTTTTACCTCATAGGCGGTGAGTTAAAAAGGGATAGCCAGGGCTCAAAAAGAACTTCAGATCCACCATTTTATTTTATTTTTAAAAATATTTTATAGAATATTAGTTACATTTTTCAATCAATGTGATGCAGTTTAATTATTGAGTAGAACAACAATATAAAACTAGTGGGGTGCATATCATCGTGTCTTAAGGCCACTGCTGGAACTTTCCGAAACGTAATTAAAAATCTTGGTTTGAAATCCAAAGAAATTTACACTAAATGTGTACACATTATTAAAATTGCTGTAAAATATCTGATAATTTGATGTATATATGTCCAATAAACATTTTCGACCGTCAAATGACGTTTTTTTTAACTTATTTTTATTGAGAGTCTATAACCACTAAACCTGCCTTCCCAAAAATTTAATCAGTTCTTCATCTTGTCAATACAAGTATAATGTTTTTTGAATGTTCTCTCAAAAACTGAATCACCGTTTTTGGCACTTTTTGCTCCGTAACTTCGAAACGGCTGGACCTGTTTTCGCCAAAAACTAACCAGCACATCTTCTTATAAATGGGAATCGAATGTTTTTTGAATCATTCAAATCGGTTTACCCGTGCGCCCGAAATCGTGGACAAAAAAAAGTATCCAAACATACACATACGCACATACATCCATTTTTTTTTAAGGTATGTCAAAATGTTCAAAAACCTTTGAAACGTAAAGATATGCAAAAATTTTGATTTTCGATTTTTTTGCGATTACAATAACTTACCCTACGAGAAGTTAATAATTTAAATATTTAATTAGTACGTTTCGACACTGTAGCAAATGAACAAAATCAAACTAGAAAAAACATACAATTGCACACATTATTTTATAAGAAAACAAAAATTTTATTAAATTAAAATATGTAAAAAAGAAATTGAATAGGGTAGTCCAATTTGATTTTGAGCATTCATATTGTGAAAACCAAACCGATTCTATCACAACAAATAACACATATCAAACAAACAACTATCTGACTATGTTTAGTAAAACTCCCATCATTGTAGAAATATTCTTTGGCTATTTTTTAAAAATTTATCTGTTTTGTGACCCCATAGGCGGTGGGATAAAAATTGACAACCAGGGTTCAAAAAGATCCCCACACCTACCAGTTTGTTCTATTTTAAAAAAATATTTTATTGAATAATAGCTACATTTTTCAATCAATGCGATGCAGTTTAAATATTAGGTAGAAAAACAATATAAAACTAGTGGGGTGCATGGCATCGTGCATTAAGGCAACTGCTAAAACTTTCCAAAACGTATTTAAAAATCTTGGTACGGAACCCGAAGAAATTTACACTAAATGTGTACACATTATTAAATTCGCTGTAAAATATCTGATAATTTGATGTACATAAGTCTAATAAATATTTTTGACCGCCAAATGACATTTTTTCAACTTATTTTTCTTTAGAGTCCATAACCGCTGGACTTTCCTTCTCAAAAAAAATTTAAATTATTAAAATCGGACGCTCCGTTCTCTTAAAAACTGAGTTACCGTTTTGGGCATTTTTTGCCCTGTATCTTCGGAACGGCTAGACCTGCCTTCGCCAAAAACTATAACGTCTCATTATCAACACGAATCGAATGTTTTTTTAATTATTCAAATCGGTTTATCCGTATTCTCGAAATCGTCGACGGAAATTTGTATCCGCATACATACCATACACCCACGCCATTTTTTCTAAAGTATGCCAACATGTTCAGAAACCTTTGAAAAGTGAAGATCTATACAAATTTTCATTTTCGATTTTTTTGCGATTACTATAACTTGCCCTACGGTAAGTTAAAAATTAGTATAATTATAAAATATATGTATTAGGGGTGAATAACTCTTGGCATAAATAAATTAATTTAGTAGAAAAATTTTGATTTTCTATAATCTCGGAACAATTTTAATGGGAATAAGCTGAGAAACATTTATCTTTAATTAGTAATCAAGTGGTATAAAAATTATTGAATTACAAAAATAAGTATTATAATTACAGATAGGGAGTTGTGGCAAAAAGGTAAAAATTTAGAGTTATACGGTTTTTAAATTTTGCATTAAAAAAATAAAGGGAAGGAAACTGGTCTAAACACTTAAAAAAATGTTTGTGTGCAACCATAATATATATTAAAGCATTTTTTAAAGAGAAATTTAGGCTTCTCTATCAGCTTAAGAAAATCTTTATCGAAATCAGTGGAAAACTGTTCACAAAGGATGATAATTTATCAGTTGTTTTGCGGATAGAAAATGATTGAATTACTAAAATGACTATTACAAAATAGAGGGTATTTGAAAATCTAGGAAGGTGTGTAAATTTTTAATTACGTTTTATGAAAAGGGAAAATAAAGAAAATTGGTTCACATCACTTAAAAAAAAGTTTTCTGGTGTTAAATTTAGGATTTTTCATAAGCTCGAAAAAATCTGAACTAAAATTCAGTGAAATCTTGGGGATGATCAACCCACTCGAAAGTAGGAAAAATAGATGTTAGCCCATTCTCAGTCAGTCAGAACGCGTAGTTCTATTGCTTCAGTAAAAAACAATGCGATATGTAGCTTTGGTGATACAAATTCGAAACATTTATGCTAGCTAAAACAATGGTATTGAAAAAAAAACTTCGAGATGCCATCCGCAATCCGCAACACTTATTAGATTTTGCAGCAAATTTTCTGGCCAGTCGATCCTTCATGTCTACATTGTAATATGAAGTATTTATTGATAAATACTTATTAATGCTTTATAGAGTAAGAAAATTAAATATAGTAAAAATTACCGATGAATATCATTCCATATTATTATATTATCTTACCTTCTAATTAGTTGTATTTTTTTATTTTTCAACTTACATCATACTTTAGTTAGAAACAACTATTCATTAATAACAATATAACGGCCAGGTTTGTAACACTTTTGACAATTCTCTATAAAAATTACAAAATCATAGCAAATTAGACTGTTTTTAAACGTTGGTTCTAAATTCTACTAATGAGGTTCACATATAAAAATGTAATAAATGCATTTATGTGTTTCTTTTTTAGATAAACTCCAATCGTTTCGTAACACTCTCTTTGAATCCTAACACTCACTTTCTATTGCGCATAATTTATATGGTTCATAATACGATTGTCAACTATAATTGATAATTATCTTTGAAAATGCAATAGGTAGGGTAGATAGTATGATTGTTCGAACAAGTTCCCATTATTGCTTTCAGTCAGTGCCTTACATTAACATGATATGTAGACCGCATTGCTTTTAAAGTGTCAAAAATTAGTTTTCGTGTTCGAATTCATTCATAACTATTGATTGTATACAGATAAATTACTCTTTTGTTAAATTGCTGTAAGTTAAACATTATTAGTTTATTTACCAGCAATTAGTTTTTGCTTAGATAATTGAGCTCAGTCATAATGATTTAATTTCAAAAGTGTGCATTGGGTACGGTTGTGACAATTTTTGGGATACGGTTGTGACATGTATTTCTTGTCCTTTTCGAGTGAAGATTAAACAGATCAAGAAAATCTAACTTAACTAATTGTAAGACAAAATACGAAAGAGAAAAGTGAAGAAAATTTTTTGTAAACTTTGTTTAAAAAATTATGTTTTGTTATAATTGTTATATCTAATTCATAAGATTTTTCAAAATGTTTATGTTGTCTTGTGTTACATATTGTTATTAACGACAGTACAAGTCGTTTATAAATCATTTTGATGTTTTTAACTTCCCGTAGGGCAAGTTATAGTAATCGCAAAAAAATCGAAAATGAAAATTTTTATATATCTTTACGTTTTAGAGGTTTCTGAACATTTTGGCATACCTTAGAAAAAATGGATGTATGTGTGTGTGTGTGTGTGTGTGTGTGTATGTGTGTGTGTATGTATGTATGTATGTGTGTGTATGTATGTGCGGATACAAATTTTCGTCGACGATTTCGGGAACACGGATCAACCGATTTGAATAATTCAAAAAACATTCGATCCGTATTGATAAGGAGACGTGCTGATTAGTTTTTGGCAAAGGCAGGTCAAGCCGTTCCAAAGATACGGGGCAAAAAGTTCCGAAAACGGTAAATCAGTTTTTAAGAGAACGGAGCGTCCGATTTTAATAATTCAAAAAACATTTTATTTGTATTGACAAGATGAAGAATCGATACAACTTTCATGAAGGTAGGTCCAGTGGTTTCGGAGATATAGAGGAAAAAGTAAAAAAATGAGCCATTTAGCGGTCAAAAATGATCATTAGACATATGCACATCAAATTATCAGACATTTTATAGAGATTTTAACAATAAGTATACATTTTGTTAACATTCCTATCGGTTCCGTACCAATGCTTATGCGTTAGACAGCGACGCGGCGCTTACGCGCTTTATATTTTGTCCCTATGTAGTTAAAGCAGTACGATTGCTTTGAAAAAAAAGTTCAGATCTTCCACAATATGTCATTTTTTTTTTCAAAAAAAAACTAATTTTTTGTCCAATTTATAGTTTCTCAAAAATCTTATTTTTTCAAAGTAATTTTTTTTCAAAAATGTTAATCGTTTTAAAAAAAAATAATAATTTTTGGTACGGGAAGTTCCAGCAATTTGCCTTAAGGCACGATGCCCTAATTGCCTTAAGACAGAATTCCACTTACAGCTAGTTACTTATTGTTTTTAACCCATTTTTATGCCTGTCACTACTGACCCCAATCGCAATCACATGGACCCTCGGATATTGACGGTTGTGCCACTGGCCAATTTCTTGTATAATTTGATTTCAGTATTTTCATGTAGACAAATATTCAAATTACCATAGTTTACTCTCTCAACTAACTAGTATATTAACAAAATTATGGCTGATCAAAAAAGTGGCACACCCGTACCCAGTCTCTCTACTAATTCTATTTTAATAATATTACTAATATGTATTTTCAAAAAACTTGTAGTGTCTTTTACTGTATGATATTTTTTTCGATAAAAAGCTGCATTTCATTAAATCAATTATTGATGCGTTTTTAACTTCCCGAAAGAGAAGTTCATGTTTTCATCATGACGTTTTCTCAAAAACGGTTAGACCGATTTCAAAAATTTAAAAGCCATTTGATGTATTTCGATGAGGACTAGCGTTTCAGAGTTTTGTGTGACAATCGGTCGAGCCGTTTCTTTGTAAATCGCAAAAAAGTGAAAAATGTTTCGTCCACGTTTTAGCCCGAAATTCTTAATCGATTTTGAAAATTCAAAAACCGTTCAAAAGATATTGGTTAGGAATCGTGCTGATTAGTTTTTGGTAAAGATCGGCCGGGCCGTTTTCTTGTAATAAAGTTTTTAAAAAAAAAATCGACGATTTTTATGATTATTTTTTTGACGGTAGATATCTTAGTCTTCTATCATACTAAAATATTACGGCCCTACGACAACTCGTTTAGCTTTAAAAATTCATCAAAGTTTGCAAAAATTAGTATCGTTCTTTTGGCATTTGTCAAAATTAGACCTTTGATTGACGTTTTCTCAGAAACGCCTGAACCGATTGCAGAAATTTAAAAGCCATTTGATGTATTTCAATGAGGACTATCGTTTGTCAGTTATGTGAGACGATCTACCTAACCGTTTCTTTGTAATTTGAAAAAAAGTGTTAAACTTTTCGTCCACATTTAAGCTCATCCTACCGAACCGATTTTAAAAAATCAAAAACTGTTCGAAAGATATTAGTTGGGTGAAAATCTACCGAGCCGTTTTCTTGTAATTAACTGTTGAAAAAAAAACTCAAGCGGATTTTTATGTAACTTTTTTTGGCAATATATATCATGGTCTTATAGAACACACTGAAATATTAATGCCTTACGACAAGTAGCTTAATTTTAAAAATTCATCAAAGTTTAAGAAAATGAGTAGTTTTGTCGACGTTTGTTAACATTAAAATTAGACGATTTACTTGGTATAACTATAGAGTACTTGGTTTTAATGAACATACTAAACCATTAAAGTCCTATGGAAACTGGTTCAATTATAACAATGGTTGATTTTTTTAAATTCGCTATTAGAAAATACTCCGAGTTAACGTGTTCGTTCGTTTTCAATTATGTGTAATAAACCCACTCAGAATACTTCTAATCACTCATAAATTAAATTATTTTTTATTGATTAAGTCGATTATTTACACATATCGGGAAGTTCATGTAACTTGCCTTAAAGCTAAATACCAAACCAACTAGTTAAATAATTTTGTCCTATCAAAATTTTTGATAATTTTTGTAAATCTTTCTCGGCTATTTTGATTGATTTTTACTTAACGGCCTTTGCAGAAATAAAGCAGACTAGTGGTGTGTGGCATCGCGTCACGAAATGTTCGAGAAATATTAAATGTTTATAACAGATTATTATAAATACTGTAACATTGTACTGTAAAATTATTTATTTGAAGTATATAAGTGATCTTTAAAACTTTAGCCGGCATTAAAATTATAATCAGAATTATTTTCGATATACAAAAGGAAAAAAATGGAAAAAAAATGAATTTTTTTTTCAAAAGCAATTATTTTGTCAAAACAAGCAGAAAGTTTTTTGAATCATTTAAATCGGATGCTTAGTTCTCTTAAAAACTGCCATTTTTTGCACATTTAACTCGGTATCTCCAAAACGGCTAGACCTGTCTATCATTCAAAATCGCATGCTCCGTTTTCTCAAAAGCACAATTTCTATTTTCTGCATTCT